TCTTCCCAGCTTCAGGGTTGGCCCACCCTCTCACCTCAAGGATGGATTTTCCTTTGGTTGCCAAATAAGACTAAGCTGTCACCGAGCTGTAACACTGGTTTTGTTTAAACTGAGTTGTAACACTGATCTGCCGCTTCAAATTTTTGCTGTGGCAAGACAGAACCGAGGGAATCACACAGTCAAACACACTTGGAGCTGCCTTGCAAGCGAGTCCTTCGGCCCCAGCTGACCTTTCAGGTGATGCCGTCCTGGCCAACACCTTGCCTGCAACCAACCCTGTGAAAGATCTTGAACCAGACCCACCTGGCTAAGGTCCTTCTGGAGTCAAGAACCTCAGAAACTGGGTGAGACGATGTGTACTGCTGGTTTAAGCCATTCAGTGCAGGAGTCACTTACAACACAGGTATGGATAATACGTAACCTTGCCCTTTCCTAGTAATGATTTTATTACCCAAGAGCGGGTTGCAATCCATTGTCTGGAATGTGCTGGTGGAAAGCTTTGCCTCTGGACCCTCCCTGCTTCGTGGCACAGCCTGTCTAGTTATTTAACACCCGGAGCAAGAGGAGAGAAACTCCAGAGGGAGGTGGTAAAGGGCACAGACTCTAGCACCAGATGGAGTTTGAGCCCCAGCTCTGCCATGCATCAGCCTGCAACCTGGACGGGTCTCACTGACCATCTGTGCCTCAGTTTCACTAACTGTAAAATGCGAGTGACAATAGTATTTAGCACCAGGGTTATTGTCAGGGTCGGAGGGTATGTGTAAGGTTTCCATGATGGTGGCCGGAGCGCGGCAGGAGCTGTAGAGGTCAGCTTCCGACTTGTGGCAGATGGTGTTCTGGGGCTAGGGATACATCAGGGCATGAAATAGTCAGAAATTTACCCTCACTGGGCTGGTATTCGTGTGGAACACAGGTAAGCAAGAGAAGCCGGTGATTTATGTCATGTCCATGGGCATCCCTGGGCTCTGTCAGATGGTGAAGAATCTGCCCGCAACGCAAGAGACCTGGGTCAATCCCCGGGGTGTGAAGATCCCCTGGAGAATGGCATGGAAACCCACTCTAGTATTCCCACCTGAAGAATTCCATGGGCAGAGAAGCCTGGTGGGCTGGTCCACGGGGTCGCACGGGGTCAGACACGACTGAAGCGACTTAGCACTTAACGACAGTCGAGGTTACCGAGAGATTCCTTGAGCCCCCCTGGTTGTCCAGGTGATCACACTGGTCCTGCACTAACCTCCAACCACTGCCTGTTTTCTGGGACAAGGAACTGGGTGGCATGGACAGGTCTGCCCATGGGTCATCGATGACGAGCCGATGCAGGGCACTGAATCTCTGGAAATGAATGTCGTCCCCTCCCAGCCTCCCAGTCACTGTGGTCTCACGCCCATGGGGTGAGAATGACTTGCCCTTTCTAGAAAAGAAGCGTGTGGTGTGATCTTATGTCTTAATTTTGTATATTTTACTCAACTCAGCCTCTCACCCAGAGAAGCTGGTTATGTCACCGTCTGGCCTGGCTTCTCACCAATGAAACAACACCCACATCCAGAGAAGGGAGTTCCAAGACCTAGGGGAATACCCTCCTGGAATAACTCTCCCCAGAAACAGTAGTGAAGCCAAGCCCATCACTGTGGGCAGCAAGTCTCTGGTGTGGGAACCACCCTTTCCCCCACTGCCCACACCAGTCTCTCCATGCACAGGGTGACACTCCAGGCCCCAGAAGAGGTGGGCTAAGGCAGACAGACCTGCCCTGTTGCATGAGGTGCCCGGCTTCACTGTGCTGGCTGAGCGCGCTGGACAAAACAGATCAAACTGCAGCCCAGCTCCAAGACGCTGACACAAACACATGAGACCTGGCCAAGTGATAGATAGGCCGATCTAAGGTTTGAACCTACAGCTCTCCTGGGAAATCCATCTCAGAAGGCTTCTCACACAAGGCAAAAGAATCATCACCCTTATTCTTCAAACAAGGACACACAGAGGGAAGTCACCTGCTGGCGGTCACATAGTTGTTGAACGAGGAAGACAAGATCTGGCTCACAGACACTACCCTCCGGCCTTCTTAAAGTGAATTCGCCTGAGGTATGGGAGGAAACGGTGGGGTCCACTGTTCTCAGAGCCATCCCAGTGGGGGCCCAGTGCTCTGGCTGCTTCTCGAGTGCCTCGTGTGGCTGGTGACAGACATGGATGCCCAGGACCCCTCTGAGCCCTGAGCTGTAGTGGGCAGGCGTGGGGCGCCAGCACAGGAAGCCATGGTGCTAAGCCGGCCCAGACGCTTGATGAGGGTGAAAGAGGAGAGTGGGAAAGCTGGCTTAAAACTCAACACTCAAAAACCCAGACCATGGCATCTGCTTCCATCACTTCATGGCAAATAGATGGGGAAACAATAGAAACAGTGGCAGATTTTATTTTCTTGGGCTCCAAAATCACTGCAGATGGTGACAGCAGCCATGAAAGTTAAGACGCTTGGTCCTTGGAAGAAAAGCTATGATAAACCTAGACAGTGATTAAAAAGCAGAGACATCACTTTGCCAAAAAAGGTCTGTATAGTCAAAGCTATGGTTCTTCCAGTAATTGTGTAGGGATGTGAGAGTTGGACGGCTCACATAGTGATGGCTGAGCACTGATGAATTGATGCTTTTGAACTGCAGTGCTGGAGAAGACTCTTGAGTGTCCCGTGGACAACAAAGAGATCAAACCGGTCAATTCTAAAAGAAATCAGCCCTAAATATTCATTGGAAGGACTGATGCTGAAGCTAAAGCCGCAATCCTTTGGCCAGCAGATGTGAAGAGCTGACTCACTGGAAAAGACCCTGATGTTGAGAAAGATTGAGGGCAGGAAAAGGGGACAGCAGCGGATGAGATGGCTGGATGGCACTACTGACTCAACCAACATGAGTTTGAGCAAACTCCAGGAGATGGTGAAGGACAGGGAAGCCTGGCATGCTGCAGTCCATGGGGTCACAGAGTCGGACACAGCTTAGCAACTGAACCACACAGTTAAGTCAGGCCAGGTGGGGAAAAGGCCCTGATCCTTCCTGGCTATCCTGCCTGGCTTTGCTTAACCGATTCTAACTTGAGCAGGGGAGACGTTGTCCTGCACCTGCCCTCCCTGCCCAGGACGTGGGGCTCCCAGCTCACCCCGGTCCTCGGTTCCTCCAGGCGTGAAGCAAGCCTAGCACCAGCTTTCTGGTTTCTCCAGTCTCTTGCTGGGGGCAGGCGGTCCAAATGGAGCTTCTTCCTTTGGCAAATGGAATGGATTCTCACAGCCAGCACAAGAGCAGCCCCAGCTGACGGCCGATGGTGGCGGAAGCAGGGGGTCCCTCCCCTGAATCCCACGATGGGTACCCAGAGCTACGAGGCAGACCGTTGATCCAACATTCCCCGAGCATCCCTTCTACACACCAAAACCTGAGCCCTTGTCTACGGCCAGGTTCCAGTGGGAGACACACCACACAGAAGTCTGAACTGGGGAGGTTCAAATCGGTCACATCTCATTTATTGTGCTTTGCAGATATGGTGCTTTTATACAAATTGAAGATTTCTGGCAACCCTGCGTCCAGCAACCACACTGGTGACATTCTTCCGACAGCTTTTGCCCGCTCTGTGTCCCTCTGTCATATCTCGGCATTTATGGCCATACTTCAAAACTTTCGTTACATTTGTGAACTGATCTGTGATCAGTGTGACCTTTGATATTACTACGGTCATCATTTCGGTGTTTTTTAGCAATAAAGCATTTTTTAACCAAAGGTATGTACACTGTCCTTTAGGACAATGCTATTTCACACTTAAAAGAGTACAGAATCGTGTAAACATAAATTCTATATGCACCGCAAAGCCAAAAAACTCATGTGACTTGCTTTGTTGGGACACAGGAAGTCCTCTACATAGGAACCTTTAAGATGTAAACTTTCAAAGATGCAAACATGTGTTCTGTCAATATTAGGCGTGGCACTGCAGCTGGCCCTGTCTCCTGCCGCTGCCCATCGTTCAGCTCTACCATCTCCCACCTCTTCTCCCCGCTCCAGTCAGTAAGTCTTCTTGCCTGTTCACTTGATGCCAGCCGCTGTAGTGTACGACTGTACTTTTCAACTTACATCCTGTGAGATTAAAAATGTTTTATTTGTAGGAAAAGTACTATAAAACTACTACAGTACAGTATTAAACAGCCAACTGTGCTAGCTGGGTACCTACACGAACTCTGTTGGACTTAACGAACAAATCAGACTTTACAAACGCTTTCTCAGAAGAGAACTTGTTCGTATGTCAGGGACTTACTGTGTTTGCTTTATCGGGGTGGTCAGGAGCTGAACTCGCGATGTCTCCCAAGTACCTGAATAAAAGATTAACTCTATCAGGCCAGTCACATCTAAAAGTCAAGAATACCCGTGGGTTGAGGAGCCGGCCATGGTAAGAAAGGGGTCGCCTCCTGAGGCTGGGGCTCAGGTCTCCTTGGAGAAGGCTTGGGTGAAGACCCCCTTGATGGTGGCCAAGGTCTCTGGGTCACCTGAGCAGAGTTCGTAAAGAACCAGAACCAGAAGCGGGCCCTGCCTCGTGCAGCGTCTCTCAGAGCCCGCCACAGACAAACGAGACACGGTGCGGGCGCAAAGGAGAAGTCTGACGGGCGCAGCTCACCAGTGCCACGCGGGTGACGCAGGCAGCACCTGGAGCTGAACGCTGGGAGGGCGACAACACGCGGAGCTGGCGGGCCCAGTGCTACTGTGTCTAGCAAGAGCTAAGGGCAGGAGTGACCACAGGGGCTGGAGGAGGTCCCCTTTGATGTCAGACACCCACTTTCTGGACCGCAGACAGAGAGGAGACGAGCCATCCTCTCGCCCTGGGAGCACCGCACACGGTGAGAAGGCAGCTGGTGTGAACCCCGGCCACTGTGCTCGGGGCAAGAGCTCCAGTGAACGTGAGGACGCAGAGGCTCCTGGGGGGCGGGGCCGGGACCGCACTCTTCACCGCCCCGTGGGGGCTCCTCCTGGCACGGGCCCCCTCTAGAAGATGCCGGGGAGCAGGCGGTAGGGCACGGCGGCCGTGTAGCGCTCCCAGTCGCGGCCGTACTTGTTGGCACAGCGGTGCTCGTCCCGCAGGCAGCGGTGGGTGAGCAGGATGGTCATGAAGACGACGTAGAAGTAGGGCAGGAGGTGGCCGCCGCCACAGGCCAGGCAGTAGGCCAGGCTGCCCATCAGGTCGCCCGTGTAGTTGAAGTGGCGGGCCATGCCCCAGAAGCCCGACACGAGCAGCTTGCTGTGGTGTTTCTGCCCGTCGGCCGACGTGTAGGAACACTCGATGGCCTTGGGCTTCCTGCCCCAGATCAGGCAGCGCCCGTCCGTGCGGCGGAAGAGGTCCTTCTGGTGGTTGGCCATCCGGAAGATGTAGTAGCCTAGTACGCCCAGCAGCAGGACGCCCAGCGCATAGGGGGCGGGCAGCTGCACGGGGTGGTGCACCAGGTACAGGCCCTGCGGGGTGAGGCGAGAGGTCAGCGGTGGCCTGTCCGGGCGGCGGGCAGGCCACGGGCTCAGGGGCACGGCCCGGCTCACACCCCAGCTGTAGCCCTGACCAGCCGCCCACCCGGCCCTGCCTCGGTTTCCTCTCCCGAGAACAGAAGCACCCGCTCAGAGGGGATCAGACAAGCAAATGTGCAAATGACACAGGTTCCACCCCTGGCTTGGGAGGATCCCCTGGAGGACGGCGTGGCAACCCACTGCTGTATTCCCGCCTGGAGAATCCCACGGACAGAGGAGGCTGGCGGAGTACAGTCCATGGCGTCGCAAAGAGTCAGATATGACAGAAGCGACTGAGCATGCACACACCTAGTTAGTTATCTGCCTCTCTATCTATACACACACACATCACATATAGTATAAATGTGAAATATGCAGCATGATGGGACTTGCAATTATGGCTCAGATGGTAAAGAATCTGCCTGCAATGAAAGTGACCCATGTTCCAACCCTGGGTCAGGAAGATCCTCTGGAGAAGGAAATGGCAACCCACTCCATTATTCTTGCCTGGAGAATCCCTAGGACAGAGGAGCCTGGTGGACCACAGTCTATGGGGTCGGCAAAGAGTTGGACACGACTGAGCAATTAACACACACAGCATAATAGTAAAAATACCATTTGAACAGGATAGTTAATTTTTTGTGTCCCCTTAGCTAGGCCACGGGACCCAGATACTTGGTCCAACAGTAGTCTAGTTGTTACAAAGGTATTTTTAAGATGCGATTAACGTTTCCAATTAGAATGAATGAAGCTGATCACCCTCCACAAGGCAGGTGGGCCTCATCTAATCAGTTGACAGGAACAAGTGTGAATTCCACCAGCGGACAGCTGTCAGACCCAGCTGCAATACCAACTCATCCCAGGATCTCCAGCCTGCTGCCAGCTGCGCTGAAGAGTTTGGACTTGACAGGACCACAATCACACAATCAGATAAACAGACACATACGTGTGTGTGTGTGTGTGTGTGTATGATCTCCTGCTATCAGTTTGCATGCCTGGAAAATGGTGCTCACAGTATCAGGGAACCAGAGAGCCTGCAACCACCAAGTGGAGAAATGGGTCCAGAGGGTCTGTGCCGAAGACCCAGAGTGGGGACCGGAGGCCAGAACTTCCAGCCTCCAGCCCAGGGCTCTTTCCCCTCCACCCTGCCGGCTCTGCTGGGACCTTCCTGCTTTCCGCTCTTGCTGTGGGATGCTGCAGGGGGGTCAGCCAGGTAACAGCAGCCCTGCCGTCACTGCCTGCAGGACTGGCTGACTGCTCACCACGTTGCCCATGCACGTCCTGGCCAGCCTACAAGGTCTGTCCGCATGGGTTCTCTCCACTCTTGCAGTCTGTTAAAGCAGGCCACCTGAGCTGCTGTGAACCACGCATGTGCCCAGAAGCCTGTTCTCTTCCACCCCGCACCTCCTCACTTGGGCTCACGCCACGAGCAGGCGGCATGTGGCCAGGCTCTGCACGCAGCCACCCTACATGGGGGCCCGCACCCCACGCAGAAGGTCGGGCTGTTCTCTGCGAGTTGGGAGAGGTGTGGAGGGCTGGACATCCCCCAACAGCCTCAGAGGGCTTCCTGGGTGACTCAGCAGTAATGAACTCGCCTACCAATGCAGGAAACATAAAAGATGTGGGTTTCCCTGCGTGGGAAAACTATCTAATGGTTGGCATCTGCGATATCTGCTCGCGTTTACCGATCGTGGACTTCATTACTGACTCAGGTTTGTCTTAGGTCGAGATTCTGCCAGCAACCAAGGCCTTCTGTTCAATAATGGGTTTTACTTCCAAATCCAGAACTTTTGTCTAATCTGCAGTGTTCAATACGTTGCTCCATTAAAAGTTCTGCCTATTGTAATTTTATTTCAACAATCATTAAAAGCTCTGCCTGTTATAATTTGGTTTTAAGTGTTAATAAAACACTACCTATTTTGTGTGTTAGCCAAAAAAAAAAAAAAAGATGTGGGTTTGAGCCCTGGGTCGGGAAGATCCCCTGGGAAAGGAAATGGCAACCCACTCCAGTCTTCTTGCCTGGAGAATCTCACGGACAGAGAAGCCTGGCAGGCTACAGTCCACGGGGTCACAGAGAGACATGACTGACTGAAGTGACTCAGCAGGCACGCAACAGCCTCAGAACCAGCACCCGTCCCCGAGGTGGCTCCCGTGGCATGGAGCACATAGCAGGCACCGGGGCAGAGTTGCCCAGCCCACCTTGAGTCATCAGCCCAGTCCTAACCAAGGTGAGTCCGCCCTGATTTTCCAGAGACGCTCAAGGCCCCATCCCCTGGCTGGTGACCCAACAGAGGTGCAAAGCCAGGTCCCTCCGGCTCCCCAGGAAGGTTTCTACACTCGACTCCTGTGATGCATGTGAGGGAGCCTCTCCCAGAGCCTGCAGCCCCGGCCAGCCTCCACCCTCCTCTCCCCTGGAACGCTCCCCTCTTGCAGGCCTCTTGCCCGGAAGTGGGCTCTGACCCCCCAGCCTCTGGTCTGGCAGTGTTCTTACCCCCAGACTCTTCATTCTGCTCTTGGTCTGTCTGTGGCCACCCCAAGATGCTTGCCCAGGCTGGGGGCACCTCCTTGGCCCTCTCTCAGCGGTCAGCACCCCACTTCCTGTCAAGCGCCCCCTCCCCACCCTGGGCTGCCTGCATGGGGCCTTTCCCTGCCAGGCCATGAGCTCCAAGTGGGCAGGACCTGCCGGCGTGTCCACCACTCATGCCTGTGGATACTCAGAGCCTTCATGGGAAAAAAAACAGGAGAGCAGGACTCTTACCCTTTCACTGTTAAGACCTGAATAAATATGACTATCAGTAGCCAGCTTCTTCCTCCCTGATCTCACAAGTCATTTCTTTAGACCCAAATCTACTCTGAATCACCCTGTTCTCTGAGTCTTAGGGGCTGAGTTGTGTCCCCCACATTCACATGTTGCAGTCCTGAGCCCAGGACTCAGCAGGTGGCTATTTCTAGAGAGGAGCCTTTAAAGAGGTGATTACGGTACAGTGACGTCACCAGGGTCGGCCTCATCCAACATGACTGCTGTCAGGACACAGACACACTCAGAGGGACGCCCCTGTGAGGACACAGGGAGGAGACGGCCGTCTGCACGCCCAGGAGAGAGGCCCAACCACACCTGGGGCTGGGACTCCACCCTCCAGGACTGGAGATGGTGAGTCCTGTTCCTGGAGACAGTGAATCCTGTTGTTCAAGTCGCCTGGTCTGAGACACTTGTTACAGCGGCCTGTGGTGACTCACACTAAGCCTTCTCTCCCTCAAAGGGCGCCAGCCTCCCTTCTCCAGGTTCTGGTGCCCCGTCCCAACCTGAAAAATCCAGACACGTGGGCAAGGACAAGGCTTGGCACGTGCTCAGCTTGTCTGCTCTGAGGGCAGCGCTGGGCGGGCCCAGGGAGCCAGCCACCGAAGGTCCTGCTGGGCGGGGGGGTGAGCATCACGGGGGCTCCCTGGCCATCTCCTCACCTGCAGCGTGTACAGGTACGGCAGCCAGACGCAGTCCCCCCAGCCCAGGTACCACCCAAAGTGGTCGTGGCAGATGTCGATGGTTTTCAGGTACCAGGTTTCATTCCAGAAGAAGTCCAGCACATAGATGGCCTGCAACACAGGAGCGGTCAGGCACTGACCACGGGCGCAGAGGGGGAAACCACCCTCCAGGACGCGACGGGGTCCCTGGGTGTCCCCGAGCTCCCCTGGTGGGGCGGCTGCTGCACTTCCTGCCGGTCCTGGGCCATCAGGGGGTCAGTGGGGGGAGGGAGTCCCTGTCCGCAGTCTGAGATGACGCATGGCCCACAAGAGGGGCGCCCAGCAACGTCCTGGACGCCGACGTCCAGGGCTGTGGAGCTGGGAGCAGAGAGATGGCTGTGGGGGCGGGGGACTGGGGCGGGGTCCTTCCACAGCCGTCAGAGCTGTGCTGCCAGGACCACTGACACACCTGAGCAGCAAACAGGAGTTTGCCATGGGCGACACAAGTCCCCGGGGCCAGAGCAGTGTCTGACAGGTGAGAACACGACTCCTTCGCCTCCCACTCTGCAGCCAGCCTCCCAGACACGTGCGAAGGGTGCCAACCCCCTTCTAAAGGCGCAGATTACAGTCTTTCAAGAGACTTCCCAGGTGGCTCAGATGGTGAAGAAGCTGCCTGCAATGCAGGAGTCCAGGGTTCATTCAATCCCTGGGTTGGGAAGAGCCCTTGGAGGAGGCCATGGCTACCCAGTCCGGCATTCTTGCCTGGAGAAGTCCATGGACAGAGGACCCCGGTGGGCTATACAGCCCATGGGGTCTCAGAGTCAGACATGACTGAGCGACTAGTATTTCTCACTGTCTGTTGAAAGCCATCTGGCTTTCGGGCTTCCCCAGCACCCAGCTGGTGTCAGAGCCCACAACCCCCGACCCAGGCCACAAGCAGGCTACCTGCAGGACGTTGACCAAGACCATGGAGTTGGTCACGTGGCCATAGAGCTCCTGCTGCTTGGCTGCAAAGGACAGGTTGATGAGGGTCCAGGCGACGATCCCAGGGCGCCCATTGAAGAAGAGCTTGAAGTCAAACCACTTCCCAATTCGGGGGTTAAACTCAACGCCCATCATGTAGTTGTAAAAGAAATTGCCTGTGAATTTGCTTGAAAACACAAACGACAGATGCATGCTGTCAGCGAGTGCCTCTCACAAGCAGCCTCCTTGGCTGGTGCTCAGGTGCTCAGCCCAGCTGGGTACTGCAGGCCCAAGAGAGAAGACCTGGGGGAGGCCTGCCGTGACCTGCAAGGACCCAGCACGCGGAGGCCATGTCAGCCTCGGGCCCCTCTCCGACAGCCGTGACACTTCACTCCGCATTCAGCCCCAGCCTCGAGCTGAGAGGCTCACTTTGTTGTAGTGAAGGTGGGGAGACTGTAACCTGGGCAGGTGCCCAGGATCCTCCCTCCCACCTCCAGGCTCCCCAGAGGCGAGCTGCCCAACTGGCTCGGCTGGACAGAGACTTTATTCTGAGCAACTCATAGAGCATTTGGGCCCCCGTGGGCAAGCGAGGTTATAAATGATGCCGAGGTAGACGTCAAAAACAGCGCCAGTCTCAGAGCCAGGTGCCTGGCTCCAGGGCCCACACCCATGCCTTGCTGGGCAAATTTTAAATGCTTTGCTGCCCTCATCACCTGACCACAGGAGTGAGCAGAGAGTCAGCCAGGGTAACCCAGCTGGAGACTTGCTCTACCACCTGCTGCACATACACGGGGATTTCTCTGTTAGTTAGGGAAATATATTTCCATGTCCATTTCCCTCAACTAGGATAAGTAGAAAGAAGCCAAATATACAAAGTCTACAATAGGGGGTGTGATTATAAAGCAGAGAAAATGATTTTCACAAGGTGTAGAAGACCGGCCTCGTTACTTGCTCATCACACAAGCTCAAAGTGCCATAATCCAAACACGCTTCCTAAGAGCCTAGGGGTAACAGTTAAAGGAAGCACACTTTGCTTTTATCTGGAACCAAAACTAAAATGCAATCACCCCGAGAACAAGAATCATTGCCTACACCTGTCTACAGGAGGGACCCAACAAACATCTCTTGATGAATGTGTCCATGGAAGGAGGCAGGGAGGGAGAGATGGGGGTATGAGTAGATGCATGGATAGATGAACGGATGGCTGGGTGAATGTATGGATACAGGGAGACAGGGAGGGAGGGACAGGGGATGTGGGATGAATGGATAGATGGATAGATGGATGCTGGATGGCTGGATGGTTGGATGGGTATGTGGTTGGATGGATGGGTTGGATGGGTAGATGGGTGGATGAGTGGATGGGTGGATGGTTGGATGGATGTGTTGGATAGACAGATGAACGGATGAACGGATGAGTGGATGTGTTGGATGGATGGATGGATAAACGGATGGGTGGGTGGTGGAAGAATGGATATATGGATGTATGAAGAGATGGATGGATGGTTGGATGGATGTGCTGGATGGATAGATGGATGGGTGGTTGGATGGGTAGATGAACAGATGAATGGATGAGTGGATGTGCTGGATGGATGGATGGATAAATGGATGGGTGGGTGGTGGATGAATGCATGAAGAATTGGATATACGGGTGTATGAAGAGATGGGTAGGTGGATGGTTGATAACTATCTCACCCAAGGCTCCATGAGAATGGACATCAATCAGTCAGGCTCTTCCTGGGAAGCTATTACATTAAAGCCACCGAGGTAACAAGACTTCTCACTAAGACTGCTTCAGGCCGCACTGACGTTTCACAGAAAGAGGGAATGGGCTGCTCCTGCCTGCAAGAAGGCGTTGCCTCTCCCGCCCTCCTTCTTCCCTATGGCCCTGCTGGAGATAACTCAGCCACCAAAGATAGACTTGGCCACCTTCAACTGCATCCTTCCCAAGGCAGGAGAAGCCACCCATTCAATACGGATGCTCCCCAGAGTCCATTGCGGTCCCTTGAGCTCCTCCTCAAGGATGCTTAATCCTCAGGCTTCTGCAATGTCCTAGCCCAATGTCTCAGAAAAAGGCACTGACCCGCCAGCTAGGGCTCACGCAGCCGCTGAGGACATACCATTCCCGGGCATCGGTGGGGAAGAGGTAGCCCTTGACCATGGCGAAGGTGGAGACGGTGTAGCCCAGGATGTTGGCACACCAGAGCAGTGGGATCCAGTTGTCGAAGATGATGGTGGGAGAGAACCAGGAGAGGAGGTGGGCGTTGGCAAACCACAGGAGGTGCGTGAGAATCCACGCCTGCAGGCCATTGACCTCGTACTTGTTGACGGCTCCTGCAGAGGGGAGACACGAGAGCGGGGCCGTTTGCCCACTGCACCTGCTCCCGGCTCCTTTCTGGGGCCCCCAGACCCCAGCCCCAGAGCCAGTCAGTGGCTGGTGCCATTCAGGCACTCAGGGCCAACACGCCGGCAGCACACCTCACACTGGGAGCTGGGGACTAACCGCGCGTGCTGGCTGAATCCGTAAGAGTGGGAGAGAGGGCGCAGGACGTCTATAGCTGGCCCGAGGCTGAGTCACCAGCCTGCAGTTTGCCGGAAGCTGGAGCCACAGCAGAAGGGACAAGGGTCCCCTGTGGCTCCTGGTGGAGCTGGGGTGGGGGGAGGGTAGCCAAGAGCTCTCTGTGGGTTGGGCCAGGGTCTCAGTGACTACGGGGAATGAATGGACCAGGCGGCCCTAAGGCCCTGTAAGTCAAAGCTTGGGCCCCGCGATGCCCCTGGGGCACTCCAAGTGTCCCTGCCAGGAAGATGCTCCACGAGCCCAGCCACATGACCGGCAGGGAGCGGGGGCTATTTCGGTCCCTGGTTGGGAATGTGATTTCTGATCTCACCTGTGGCGGCCGTCCCTGGAAGCTGTGTGTGTGTGTGTGTGTGTGTGTTGGCGGGTGGGTGGGGGGTCAGGCCCCATAAGAGGAATGGACAGGGAAAGGCTGCACGTGGGCGAGCAGGGGCGGACCCTGGGTTACCTGTGGGAGTCACGGCGCCCTCCTGAACGCCCCCCACGTAGCCCGGCAGAAACTTGTGGCAGAAGTCAGGAAGCAGCATGTACAGAAGCACCTGAAACGCAGAGATGTTTCAGCTGGTGTCCCCGTGGGCTGCGGGGCCTGGCTGTGCCTCGACACGGCTGTGCTTTCTCGGCTGAGACGATGAATGTGCAGGCACCGCACGAGTGGGAGAAACCATGATCGCGGCTGGTTACTTCTCCCAGAAGAGCTTATGGCTTTGGGGACGCTGACCGCAGGCTGACTGGGGCTCTGAAGGGAGCCCTGAACAGGAAGCGCGTCGCCACCGGTCAGAACACCCACGCCGTCTCCTCACGGGGCGCAGCCACTCCCTTTGGGAGAGCCCACTGGCTCACATTCCATAGCTCACCCTGAAAAGTGTTCACTGAAAGAGCTCAGTGTGTTCCTGAGCTTGTGCCACTGCTCCCAGAGGCCAATTCCAGAACATCCCTATCACCCCGAAGAGGAGCCCCACACCCCCTGGCAGTCCCTCCCAGCGGCCCCTCCCTGCCAGCCTCTGACAACCACCGGTGCACTTTCTGTCTCTGTGGATCTGCCTGTCCTGGACTTTGCATATAAACAGAATCAGGCAGGACACGCCCCTGCGGAGCCGACTTCTCTCAGTGAACACCAAGTTCTCAGGGCACCAGGCTGCAGCCTGTGTCAGACCCTCACCCCTTTCCATGAGAACAACACTGCCCTGCGTGGTTGGATCACACTACATCTGTGTCCACGTCTGTCGATGCACACGTGGACTGTTTCTGCCTTTAGGCTACTGTGCCTCTCGCGGCTCCAAATCACCTTTTACTCAAAAGGACCAAGAGGCCTGAAATGAGAGGGAAGCTGAAGCCCAAAAGCCGGGATCGCAGGGAGAAACAGCTAGCAGAGGTCAGAGCCCAGGAAACCCCAGGGGGGTTGGGGTGGGCAGGGGGCACCTCCCTGCACCATTTCCCAGGATAACGATAGCATCATTATTAATATTCAGAAACTAAATACTGTCTGTTCAGATAATAAACACTGCCTGTTCACCAAGTTCATGGTGCAGACAGCCTTCTGATGAACTCCTGACTGGGAAGCTAGTGAGGTCACAGCAGAGCCAAGGCCACGCCCCCCTCGTTGGCCAGGCCTGTGTGACCACCTCTGGGGACATGGCCTTGGCTTGGCCAAGACCAAGAGCAGCTCTTAGGAGCTGGGCAATCCTAGGCCATGCTTCCCATCATGCACATGGCCTCCAGGGCGGGAGCCACGCCCTCACGCTCTCCCAGGTGGTGTCACTCCCTGCTCAGCACAGAGGCTCAATGGAAGGTGAGCCGGACACCGAGATGTCACCCGGTGGTCCTTGAGCTGAAGACAAAGCTAAGTCCATCAGGCGGCGGGTGAGGCCTGGCTGGGTCCCAGGAATAAGGATGTCACTGTGAGCCGGATGCCATCCCCAACCAGGGGCCAGGCCCACCTCGAGGAGGGGACATGCGTGCAGGCTGAGTCCCCACCGCGGGGGCCAGGAGGGCTGACCTGGAGCGTGACCCACGCCGCGTAGACCTGGGCCGCCTTTGCGGTCACAGGCGGCGTCCTGGCCCAGATGTCCGCGAGCCGAGCCCGCCCGGCGGCAAGGTCCACCACGGGCGCCGTCAGGGAGCAGCTGTACTGGTCGCAGGCCATGATGAAGTAGTAGACGATGAAGGGCGCGAACAGCAGCAGGAAGATGACGCCCGCCAGGGAGAACCAGTCCACCTCCCTGTGGGCCGACAGACGGCAGCAGGTCACGGGGGTGGCCCCCTGACCTCACACGCGGGCACACCAGCCAGCGCCTCCCGAGAGGAGGCTGTCGGCTCGCAGGGCCAAGGCCCCCATCGCGTAGGCAAGGCACCCCACTCGCACGCTCCGCTTGGAGCAGTCTGAAGGCCGACGGGCCCACGGGCACCCCAGAAAGCCCGGGGCCCAGGACCAAGCACAGAAGGCCTCCCACACCCCACGGGTCCAGAGGCTTCCTGTTCTGGGCCATCTGGGACCCTCACCAAGTCCCCATGCCCCGTGTCTTACACGCTGAGGGCAGAGCCAGGACACCTGCCTTCCCTGACGGCGGCTTTTACAGTAGCTTCTTCTTTGGGTTCCTAACTTTCTAAACTGGCAAACTGCTACTAATGACAGTCCTACTGATAAAAAGAATCGCTTTCACAGGTTCCTGAAATCCCAAAGGCTGGCAACCTCTCGCCGAGAGCCCCCTTTACTTTCCAGCCGGGAAGGCGGTGGGAAGCTTACCAGGCACGGCCCCACTGCCCTTGGGCTGCAGCCTTGCCGTTGGTGATGCCGCTGGCACTCTTGGCTTTAGGGGCGCTGGGCTGGGACTTCGCAGCCATTGGGCCCTGAGGGGAGGAGAAGCCACGCTGAGATCAACCCCTGACAAGTGGACGGTGCGGCTCCCTGCCGTCATTCACAGGCCTCCACGGGGCTGGACTCCTTCATTCAGACTCTCCACCTTGTCCTGGGCGGGTGATTCCAGGCAGGGACTCCCACTCCGGGAACCTGCAATAGCCTCCCACCTGGCCCTACTGTGCTCTTATCTCAGTTGATTTCCCAGCGACAGCAGAACATCCTTCTTGTTACAGAAACCCAATACCTGTGGCTCAGAAACCTCCCACCACGTGCTCCTGCCTCCCCTCGCCCACACGCGCCGATCATACCCACTGCTCCAGGCACACAGACGGCTCTATCCGTCCATGAATGTGATTTACCCTATTCGTGATACCTGCTGCTTCTCTGCTTAGAACACGCTTTACAGGTCTTATCTGGGTCTCATAAAATGTTCCCTCCTCAGTATGACTTTTTATTTTTCCTGGAATTAATGGTTGCCTCACTTTTTCCATTCTCTAAGATTTCTATGCATCTATCACTAATTTTTTTTTTTCTGAATGCTCTAATGAGCTCTCATACACATTAATAACTTTTCTACATATTCCAACACAATTTATCATTTCCATTCCTCCTTCCCACCCATAGCCATTCATCTTGTACCAAGAGACAAGCCAACCCATGGTCATAATATGAGGGAAGCAGTGACACCCCGACTTCCAGAATGAGCTCACAATGGTGATGTTTAAAAATATCAGGCATGAAAAAAAGATGATCTTAAATGCTTCCAGAAAAAATCCAGGATTAAGAATCGTGCTAGTAGCAAGCTGGTTCTAGAAGACAAGATAGAAAACTTCAAATATTCTGAGGGAAACTTAAGCTGCTAAAGAAAAGGCCACTGAGAGAACAAGAGGAAATCCCAAGATAATAGCTGGGCAGTGGACCAGACAGTAACTGATCCACAATGGCACAAGATGAATGACTTTGGGCCAGGGGCGGGGGGAGCAGGGAATGAAAATAATACATTTTGTTGTGTTGGAGAGCACACAAAAATTACTGATAAGCATGATGGCTCTGTCATAACATGCAGGAAAAACAATTAGTGACAGATATATAGAAAACTTAGCATATGGAAAAAGTGAGGCAACCACTAACTCCAAATACATAAATAAATAAAAAGCCATATAAGGGGAAAAACACCAAACCATAATTATAGTACATTACATGGCTTAACAGTAAATAATAATTTTTCCAGACAGAAAAAAAATGTGTAAAGCTGAGGGTGCTAAAAGGAAATCATTTAGAAATAAGCAGGTAAAAAACAACACAAAAATAGCTCAGAAAATGAAAAAGCATTTGCTTCTGGGAAGTGAGACTCTAAGATGACGTAGGGGACTGTTTATTTTTTATATATAAGTCTTTTAACGCTGGTTTTATTTTAAATGTGAAGATGAATCACTGTAATACAACTGTACCTTCACTTAAAATTTTTCAGTGATGAAAACTGCAGCAATCACTTTATTTTCACAGGTTGGTTTATGGAGCATTTATGACGTACAAGGCAGACCAACGAGTTCTTTACGGACAGAGGGCCACTCATCTTTACAGCCCAAAACGCAGAATTTTGAGCCTGGTACGTGGCAGTTACTCTGATCTAACGTGCTGGAAAACTGCAAAAGTGCCAGAACAGTATAGGCTAAGAGCTAACTTTGGAACACCAAAAGCATATTTTCTAAGGATTAAAACAAGCCCACATAATTATTTCGAGCTTGTAGTGCCCTTCATTCACCTCTCGGTCATGTGTGTGTGAGCTGCTTAGCCGTGTCTGACTCTCTGCCACCCCTTGGACTGTAGCCCGCCAGGCTCCTCTGTGCATGGGATTTCCCAGGCAAGAATAGCGAAGTGGATAGCCATTCCCTTCTCCAAGGGATCCAGCTGACCCAGGGGTCAAACCCGGGTCTCCTGCACTGTTTAAGCGGCTTCTTTACCGCCTGAGCCACAAGGGAAGCCTAGAAAGGGAACGCTGTGGCTGCACGGGTGGGGGAGAATGAACGTGGCCCTCCCTCGTGGCAGGTGAGAGGTCTACCACGGAACCATCCCTGCGCCTCTCTGTCATAAGCACTGAATTTTTAATGAAGGTGGAAGGGGCACCCTTGGCAGCAGATGGCTGAAAATAGGGGAGAGGGTGGTGTCCAGGAAGTAATCAACTTTTTCCCTAAGAGTCAGGCAGGAATTGACACTGAGCACTGATGGACCAGCCGCCTTTGAAAACGAGCAGCGGCGCCGAGGCTTACCTCCAACCTCTTGCCGAGCGGCTCCACTGCGGAATGTGGGTTTCCCTTCTTGAACTGTCCCCTTTCAACTCTCTAGGCTTTTACGCTCCACAGGCCTGCGAGATCCTCTTCAACCCGCTGAACAAAGTCCTGCAGGGCACACAAACACTCAGGGAGATAAGGACCCAAATGATAATTCTCCCAAGTCCCACCTGGTAATGGCTCAGCACCCCGGGTTTGAAAGTACAAGAGTCCCCATGGGTGGGGACCTCCAGGATAAGGCAATCTCATCTTGTAGCTTCTCTGCCTGGCACACACATCTGCCATGGAGGAAGCACTTATAAACAATGGGTGGGGCTGGATGTGGGGGTGCTTCCTGGAGGAGTTGCCCTGGAGACGAGCCTTAACGAGGTGGACTGAGGAACAGCCCAAGTTGGCTTCTTTGCATCCTCACACGGGGCAGCGCACACGCCCCTGGAATGTCTGTACCATCGACCTGGATCAAGTCCCACCCTGCCCACTCCACCCCCACCCCCAGCCCCACCCCTGCCCCCAAGCATGCATCTTCCCCCTAGGCATTCCCAGAACCACTGAGTGCCGTGAATACAGGGCATCACAGACAGTGATCTGGGCTTGGAGCCTGGTTCTCTGCAGACTTCCTGGACCCAGTGACCTTCCCGAGTGTCTTGGGACTTCAAAGCCCACACACACACACACACACACACACACACACACACACACACGCAGGGAGGAGCCGGGGAAGTACAAGGGGCTTTTCGGCACCCTGGTCAGCTCCCCGGGCCGCATTTTGAGCTCCACAGGCGACCCCATGGACTGAAGCCTGCTGGGCTTCCCAGTCCTTCACCATCTCCCAGAGTTTGTTCAAACTCATGTCCATTGAGTCGATGATGCCATCCAATCATCTCATCTTCTGTCACCCCCTTTCCTTTTGCCCTCAACCTTTCCCAGCATCAAGGTGTTTTCCAATGAGTCAGCTCTCGGCATAGGGTGGTCAAAGTATTGGAGCTTCGACTTCAGTATCAGTCCTTCCAATGGATATTCAGGGTTGATTTCCTTTAGGATTGAGTGATTTGATCTCCTTGCAGTCCAAGGGACTCTCAAGAGTGTTCTCCAGCATTACAATTCGAAAGCATCAATTCTTTGGTGCTCAGCCTTCTTTATGGTCCAGATCTCACATCCATGCATGACTAGTGTCTCCACTGCTGCCCTGCAAATAGGTTCATGGAGGTGGGAGGTAGCAGACATATGTATGCCTATGGTTGATTCATAATGATGTATGGCAGATATCAATACTACTGTAAAGCTCTTATCTTCCATTTAAAAACAAACAAAAAATTTTTTAAAAAGAGTGAGCCCATGAAACTCTAAACACTCCACTCTCATGCCCTCGTGAAGGCAGGGCTCCAGGCCCACACACTCATCCTCTTTCCACCCACAGTTTGGCTGAGTGGATGCAGGCAGGCAAGTACCCACAGGACCTGTGAGTAATAAACCTTGTTCTTCAACCTTTCCTAATGGCTTTGCTGAAGTTGTCCTGCAATCATAAGAACCGCAAGGGCCGGTCTGGCCAGTACATAGTCCCAGAGGGAGCGGTGTCTCTGGGGCTCCTCACAGTTAAGCAGGCCAGGCGAGTGCCTTCAGCGTTCCTTGCTGAGAACACCACCATCAACAGCCCGGGACCCATGCAACAGATGGCTTAAGTCCTGTGGCAGCCCTTTTGGCATCTTGAGGGTTTGGTGTTTGGAGAGGCATCTGAGATGCAGAAGCACGGCAGAGGTGGGACGGCACAGTGATGCTCAGGAGGCCCGGATGTCACTGGTAAGGCTGCAAGTTCCCTGCAGGATCACGTCTTGCTGCCAACATGTCCCCACTTGGAACTCAAAGTGGGTGACTGTGAGCAGCTACTTTACTCGCTAGCCTGAGTTTCCTCATCTACTAAGTAACCCACTCTGTGGGATAAATGAGGTCCCAGGGCCAGGTGCTCAGAACTCCTCTCAAGCCCCGTCGGAGTTCTTTCCAGAGAGGCAGCCACTGCCAAGACCGCCGCCAGCACCGCACAGGCCTCAGGAAGGTGGGCTCACACAGGGTGTTGGGGTGAAGCTCAGCCTGGCAGAGGTCTAAGGCGGATGCCCCTGCAATGCCCAACCCTGAAGCATCCTGCTGCCCTCCACGCAACTCGTCTCTTCTCAATGCAGAGGCTGAAAACAACGGTCTTTTGAGACTCTCCTGGCCGTCCAGTGGTTAGGACTCTGCACTTTCACTGCTGAGGGCTTGGGTTCAGTCCCTGATTAGGGGACTAAGATTCCACAAGTGGTGCGGTCAAAAACAAAACCAAACCATCTTTTGTCCTCTTTCAGTGTTTCTGTGGGTCGGGGATCTGGGGAGGCTGGCTAGGTTAGCTCCAGCCTGGGATGTGATGGTGTGGGTGGAGCTTGGGCTTCCTCCCAGCATGGAGGCCTCAGGGAGGAGGGGAAAGGTGCCCAAGCTGCCTTTTCTTCATGGGAAGGCATGTGACATCACTCCCAGGGCGTTATGTTGGCCACACTGAGTCAGAAGCCCACCACCTTTCAAGGGGAGGGGAAGCAGGCTCTGATTCTTGATGGGGGAGCAGCAAGGTATCAGGGGAGCACAAGATACTGTCGGGGCCATCCCTGGGTGACACAGGCAGACACAGGGGCCACTACTCGCTGGGGATCTATCAAGCTGCAAACACC